AAAAAAGAAAAGAGAAGGAAAATAAAATTGGAAAAAAAAAGTGATTAGACAAGTAGAGATAAGGGAATGAAATGGCAATATTATATCTGATAAAAGACATAACCAGAACATATAAAAAATTCTCCAATAAGTAACAGATCCTAACTCCCACTCCACCCCACCCCGCAGAAAATGGGTAAAAATTTTGAGTAATCACTTCACAAAGATACAAAATGACAAAACACCAAGCAAACAAAGATAAAGTACTCAACATTATTAGTCACCAGGGAAACGAGCTACCAGTATTCACATACTAGCAGGGCTGGCTTCATGGGCATAGCTGGAACATGTGCAGTCTCAGAAGAGCCTGGCACTTGGTTGAAAGCTCTAATATCACCTTTGCCAAATTTCTAATAATTTTATCTTTGAATTTGTTTTGGAAGTAAAGTCCAATGAGACAATGGAACTTATGCATAGGCAGAGGTGGAAGCCTCAATATTGCATGGGTCCACTGTGACTTGTTATTCCATATCATATAGCAGCCAAGGCTTCCATAAAACTCTTAACTATACTCTCTTCAGGTCTTGATGAATTCCCATGCATAGCAGACCTGCTTGAATTCAGTGCTCCTCTTCCATATCAACGCAACTTCAACTGAGTAGAAGGGGAGCTAATAGACCCAGAGGGCTTCGCTTTCAGTTCTCACCAAACTTGCTTCCCATGCAGAAAGGTGTTCTCACTGTGACTATAGCACAGGATATAACTGCCCCTATGGGTTTCTGAAACTGTAAGGAATAGAAAGCCCCATTTTTCTCCCCAAAGAGGGGTTGGTGGTCTTGAACTACTGACCTTGCATATCATAGCCCAATTCATAACCACCAGGCCACCAATGTTCTTGAGGTATTCTAAGTAATACAAACAACCTAGGAACCTTATATTCTTTCTTACTTGGTTAATCCCTTGTGTTTACAAACCATTTATGTTGAGAATGATGATGTGGAGAAAATAAAAACCTAGAGCAGCCCATATAGTTCCTTTTCCTTCTAATCCTCCATTATTCATCAACAAATCAAAGGGAGGTTGAGTGTTAGTGGAATATATGCCTATCAAGAAATGAAATAAAAACTGTTTTGTACATCATTCCTACTATTCAGGCAAGAACAAAACACATATACATTTTCCTGCTACAATCCCAGTGATTCTACATGTGAGTTAAACGCTCCTATATTTTCATTTAATACTGACATTGTACAACATAAAGATGGTTAACTTCGTGCAAATATGTTGAATTTTCCATTTTTCTTTATTTGGAATTACAATTGTACCCATTACTTTTTATAAGCACCAAAATATTTTCAAAGGAAAATGCTTTATATATCTCTAACTGCAGTTTCCTTCCCAGCCCCCTGGTTTTGAACAAGGGGCCCAATGTTTTCATGTTCACTGAAACTCGCAAATTATAAGGTACCCCCATAAAAAACAGAATTTTTTTAAAAGCTAAGTTTTTTTTTTTTATAAAACAACCTTATCATCTTCAAAATACTCTCCATTACACATAATACATTTGTCAAATCTGCAATTCCATTCTTGGAAACATTTTTCAAACTCATCTGTTTGGATGGCTGACAGCACTTCCCTCGTTTTTTCTTTACCTCTTCTACATCATCAAATCACTGTCCTTTCATATCCCTCTCCAATCATGGAAACAAATGGAAGTCGCATACAGTGGGGTCAGGTGAGTAAGGTGCAGGGGGCAAGAGAGGCATGCTGTTTTTTTGCCAAAAACTGGCACACGGAGATGGCTATGAGCAGGTGCATTGTCGTGGTGGCAAAACCAGTCCCATGCTGCCACAAATCAGGCCTTTATCTCACACTATTACACAATGTTTTCAGAACCTCTAAATAGAAAGCTTGATTAACAGTATGACCTAGTGGAACGAACTCCAAATGCACTGCATCCTTTCAGGAAGCTGACAGACATACAGAATAAGGTGTGTCATCTATTGACATTTCACCTTTTTGAAATGAGAAAACTACTCATACATATACTTCAGTTTTTCAGATAGCCCTGTCCTTGTAAGATGTGTTCAACATCACAACTGTTTCTGTGGCATTTTTCCCAGCCAGGGAAAAAAATTTCACAGCTACACAGTTCTCTTAAATCATCCATCGCAAAAAAAAAAAAGGTTTGATTGAAACTGCCTTTATGAAAAAGTTCAGTGACCAGAGAGAACCTACTCAGGTGATGCCACTGGGTGCACTAACTCAGAACAAGTCTGCTCCACCCAGCACAATTCCATTTGGGAAGTGGGGGCGGGGGGGAGTACCCCCTCATATGTAGCTGGCCCTAACTATAAGAATGACAAAAATGTAAAAGACTGACAAAACCAACTATTCAGAATTATGTTATGTGTGGTGGACTTTTTGTTTTGGTTCTGAATCTGACTAATGCCATCAGATGTTAGTAATGTACACAGGAATCATTTGAGGGGGAAAATTAAACATCTAATTTTGAATATGTTGAATTTGAGATGTATTCTCCCTCGTCAAGTTTAGTTCATATTCTCTCCAAGTCTTTTCTTCATTCACACTCACATGGCTGTCCCTCTATCATTTTTTCCTACAAAATAAAATGCCATTACTTAATGTCAGCCTCTCTTGTAAGTCTGCAGTGTATGACCAATACTCCTAGTCCTCTGCCAACTCCATCCGGATGCCCGGCCACACAATTCTGGACCCATGCTTTGGACTACTGGTTCCTGTCAAGCTGTGGGATACATACACTTTCACATATTTGTCTTGCTTTATTCTTTTTAAGGCTGATGTTCTAATTTAGTCATATCTCATCCTTACCACTCTAAGTGTAGACAGTAATTCTTTGCAGTAATATTTATTAATTTTAGATAAATAGACCAAAGTGAATTTAAGTAACAATGGGTAATATGTTCGGACTTAGTTCTAGAGAGCAGAAGCATTACAGTTTACATCCCAGGAAAGAAGTTTGGGGATGATGTTGATCAACAAGTAACGTTTCCAGTTCAGTGCAGCTTTTGGTCATTTGTTGACATGGATTCATCCCCAAGGAGAAATGCACAGAAAACCAACACTCTCATTGGTCAAATGGTAAGGCATATATATAGATATATATAATTGTTCAAATATTTCCCAGATGGCTACACAACATGATAAATGTATTCAGTGATGGTTACACATCATGAACATAGTTGGTGCCACTAAATTTAAAGTTACATTGGCAAATGTTGTTTTACATATAAGGAATTCAAAGAGTTCATGCAAAAATCCCATTTCTTTAATTCTCTTTTTTAAGCCCCCTTGTATATTTATAACAGTTGAAACAATTTTCTCAGAGAATTTACTCACAGATTATAATGTATTTTCTTGGTATTTTTGTTACTAACCCATTGCTATACTTCTTCCCATAATAGAACTAAATAAGGATGCATGCAAGATGTAGAAAAATGTTGCAGGCATGGGTATCAGGTGTCTACTCACTATAATGTACCATTTGAGTAGACAGTTGGGAAGCCTTTCGAGAATACAGTGTAAGAAAATACTTATTTTAAAAGAATTGATTGCCACAGCATCTCCATGCTTTTAAGGAATCCCTTACGCATTTATAATTTGTTACTTGCAAATAGCTTGTGAAAATGCCACTTTGTTTGCCTTTGACATTTGGTTTGATATAGGACTGCAGTTTGATCCCAGCTAATCTTGTGGAAGTATTTGGATTACTGATTAACTGCAATGAATCATCTCCTTGCAACCCGCTTCTCTCTATTGTACAACATACCCTTAAAAAAGCCATTGATCCTGAAGGGCTGCTTTATGTAGCATCGAAACAATTCCCAACTGAAGATTTCGAAAAGGTAATTAGACAAAATAATGATCCAGAATACTTGTATTACTGTTTCTCACTTAAAAGTAGATCAATATAATAGCATTGTGAACATTCAGATTTTAAAATTTTTGATTCCTTTTTCCTACTTGCTTCGAGCTTTTAATCATTTTCAGGGCTTATACATAAACTATTTAGGATTATATTTAAAATAAACAACTGCAGAAGGAAATGGGTATTTAAATACTGAGTATATCCCAGGTACCACTGTCCAAATCAACCTAGCTTTAAGAATCTCAGTACAAAAAAAATGAAATTGATTTTTTCAGATGGGCCATTCTTTTGAAAAGCTGCATAGATGTACAGTCATTTGCATTTTACAGACTATTCAAGGAGATTTCCTATACGTGGATGCTGTCGGAGTTCTGACATCACAGAACATCCAGCAGCCCAGTTCACAGACTACTGGGCCACCACACGCTATTAATCCTACTCAAGAAACAGATTCTGAAGGCCTAGAGGAAATTGTGAAGCATAAGGAGAATAAAGAGGGCAAGATCTAGTCAAGAGCCATCCCTTTAAAAAAGTTATATATCAAATATCAACCTTTTAATATTAACAGTCTTATCTTTTTGTTGTTGTTTTGGTTCTATCTTAAATAAACTGAAAATAGCTAAAATGAAGTCTGGAAATTATATCATAAGAGGGTCTTCTTAACAACAAACCCCACAAAACCACAATCACTATCATGTTGAAGATTTATTCTCTACCCAAAATCTTACTGAATCTCTAAATCCACCATAGTGGTTAACACAGTGCCTCTCATATTGCAAGTGTTGGGTAAAGTGTTCTTTAAAAGGAAAAAAAGGAAGTAAGGAGAGGGAATAGTTCTAGGGACAATGGAAGAAAGTTAGAGGGAAATAAACTGTTAAGAGAATTAAATCTAGTCCAAAGGAAAATGAGCTTATGAGACGTGAAATTAATGACCTGATAACCACTCAAATCCATTGCAGAGGGGGAAAAAATGCACTGGGAGAAAGAGGTTCTTCTGTGTGAACTTTAGTATTCTTTCCAAGTATAAGATTATATGTTCAATGACTTCAGGAAAGCCCCAAATACTTGCCCAATGTTTATGTAAATAAAATATGCAAACTCCTAAAATGTTAGTATACTCTGGATTATTTGTAATGATTCCACAATGAAAACTTGAATCTTACATTTCCATACTTTTAGCTACTGGCTTTTGCAAAGACTTTGAATGTAGAATTCAGCTTGGAGGCAGAGAGAATGATTCATGGCTATTATCTAGCAAGCCGCAGAATCCGAACAGATTCTATATGTGGATCAAAACTGTCAACATCTGCATTAAAATACTTGTAGGTATTTAACTTTTCAAAAAAGATTTTTAAAACCCGTATTGATGTTTAATCAATGTTTTGGTTTAACCTCTTTATATTCCACTTGTTTCTGCATTTGTTTGGTTGACAATCTACCTTGTTCAAAAGAATTTCAGGGGGGGAAAAAGAATTTTAGGTGAGGATACATTTTTTTAATGGAAAGTAAAATTATATAATGTGTTATTTTCTGATGTAATATTTAATAGACTCAAATCATATTGAGCTTAAGAGGCTTTTTAAAAATGGTATATTGTTCCATTTATTTAGGAATTTATTTAACTTTCATATATTATATTGAGGCTTTCAGCATACAGGTATTGAATATCACTGACATTGAGTACTAAATATTTTACAGTGTGTTTATGAGCTGTTAAAGTTCTATTTTCCTCTGTAGTAAAAAGATATTTTGTATTTAAACTCACACACTTCAGTTTACATGACTATGTTATCCATAAATACTTTTTAACTGTGAACACTATTTTTTCACACTGCAGAAATAAACGCTGTGAATGGGGGTGGGGTGTTTATGAAACCAGCAAAGCAAACAAACCCCTACTCAGAAGAGTCATGGCCCAACATCTATTGCTCCCACATCTATCGGCAGGTGCCTAACTGCACCACCACTTTACTTTTCCAGTGAAGTGGAGCAGAATAACACTTCTTTCTCGGAAAGGCTATATGTATATATTTTCCTGGTCAGCATTCTGAGAAAGGGCTTGAAGATTTCAAAAATTTAACAATCAAATTTATAAATATGTAAACTGGAAAGATCTTCACAAACTCGATGATGACCTAGACTTAAGAAATAATAGGATAAATATAAAGCTCTCAGACCCAAACTCCATAGTGAATATGTAGGCAAGAAAGGATATAGCTTACTATCAAGAGATAAAGACTTAAATTTTCTTCATTTTTATATTTAAGAGGCAAAAACATATTTGTGAATAATACTGAGATTTAGGACTGTACTAGTAGAATATAACATCAAGAAACAAGAAAGTGCTTCTTTTGCCTTTACTCACACCTCTAGTACTGCACTGACCAGAGTATTAGCAAATGCCGGCTGACAAGAAGAGTAACTAAGATGGCAAGGGCCTGAAAATGATGTAACATATTAAAGGAACTGGGAATATTTAACTAGGAGGGGAAACTATAAAACTTGTCTTGAAGTGGTTGAGAACCGTGACATTTAAGAGGCATTGGGCTGTTCTCTTCTGTTGTCCCAGAAAACAGAATGAGGGGCCAATGGACAGAAATTTTAGTGAAGCGAACAGTTTGTAGGTTGGTTGAAAAACTTTATTTTTTTTTTTGGTTGAAAAACTTTAAAATGGCTTTACTTATATGAACTCACAATGCCCATATAAATTACTATTATCTCTATTTTATAGTAGAACTTAAAAAAAAAAGCCTTCAGAAATTAAACAATTGATACATTCACACAGCTACTAACTGCGAGAGACTCAACACAGGTTTTCTGTTTCTCAAGTTACTCAGGTATATCACATCTCTCTTACCGAAAACTCAAGGGAGATCTTTCAGGTCATCAATCTTATTATTTTTAAAAAGACAGAAGTTTATAAAAGAATAACTTACGTCACGAAGCAGTGAATCTTAAGAGGCATTCAATAGGATTGAGTACCATGGGGTGTTGTAGAAGAAATTCATTTATCTGATGAGACTTTGAAATCTAAAATCCCCTCGAACTCTGAAATTCCAGAATTCTCTGAGGACTCCAGATAGATGAAGAACAGTGAGAAAACATCCAGAATACATTTCTAAGAAAGAGATATATTCATTTCCACAACCATGTATTTATCTGAGCAGAGATTGGAAGTAAGGGAGTTGGAGGGTAGAATGATAAGAAGTCAGTAACTTTTTCAGAATCCATGTTTTCTTAGAACAATCTATTCAAACTAGTAGGTGGAGTACGGGGGAGTTTCAAAACGGAACAATTTTTTTTAACATAAGATTATGATGATGTTAAAGCGTGGTTAAAGCTCATGTGTCTTGGTGTAAAGCTCAAATATATTTTACTTTTATATAAACATTCTGAGTGTCATTTTTTCCCATTTTTCTTTTAGAGTTTCCCTCTCTGAAGCACATGCTCGACTAAACTTAAGGAATAAAGTGCTTAAAGAAGATGTGTTAATTGCAGTCTTACTATTTGAAACATCTCTTACATTGAAATATGGTAACTATCCTTATCTAGTAAAATGCTACATACATACATTAGAAAAAAATCTTAATAAGCCTTTATTAAAGAATTATGGAAAAATTTTAAGTTTTATTAGCAATAAAATTAGCTTGCCATCCACATAATATACAATTCAATAGTTCCACCATATCAAGAAGAGTTGTACAATCATAACAATTTTAGGACATTTTCTTCCTTGCACCAATTGCTATTCATGTAATTTTTTCTCACTTGTGGCAAAAATCTACACAAAATAATCTCCCATTCTACATATATAATTCAGTGCCATTATTTATACTCTTCGTGTTATGCAACCATTATTGAGATCCTTTCCCACATCATTCCACCATCTTTAGTGAAGTATCTGCTCATGTTGGCTACAAGATTTGAAAAATTTAGCTTCCTTTTAAAATAACACAAAGCATTGATTAAGCAGTGCCCACAAGGATGAGGCATGTAGCCAAAGAAACTGTGATTCCCTTGCATCGCCACTTTTCCTGCTCTTTTAACACCATCCTATAGCGTTTATTTAAACTTCACAGAGCTCGTGATGGGGCTCAGGAGTCCTGGTGGCTTAGTGGTTATGCATTGGGTTGCTGACTAACCTCAAGGTTGCCTACTGGTATTAATTTAAAATTACAGAAAAAAGATGAGTCTCTTGAAAAGGTAGTATTGTAATATAACAGATTCCAGTGGTAGAATATAGCTGAATATTTTTGCATGGTAGTTCTTTTTTAAAGACTTATTGAGGCATTCAAAAAAGCATTTATTGAAGGAACTAAAACTAAAGATTGATTTTCCCCCCTTTTTTGTTAAAAGTTTCAGCTAGCTATAATTTTAAGAGCTCCTTAAATGAGACTATAAATATACCAGGAAAATGGTTCCTACTAAGGGATATTACTTGGATAGGGTATGAAATTGAAGAAAAATATATAAATTCACTTTGATTTGCTACTAATTATACAGTTCTTTAAATATTAAACTTGCTTTCTACATGACTTATCGTAATCTTAAAGGTAATTTGAAGTTAATGTGATTATTGATATAATGAAATTAAATGATAATGTAAAGATTGATATAAAGAATTAGGGTTACGTGCTCTTATCATATGCTTCATAAGCTGCCATCACAACTTAACTCATGATGACCTTCTACCTGTCAGGGAACTGTGTGCCAGTTTCAATGGCTGATTGTTCAGGAGATCACACCTGTCTTTCAGGATGCCTCCGAGTGGACTCAAACCACCAATTTCTCAGTTAGCAGTGGAGCACTTAGCCATGTGTACCACCCAAAGACTTGGAGGCTAAAAAGTTCATAGGAAAATTCCACTACCTTTTTATTCTATTTTCCCACAGGCTTTTTGAAACTTTCATGTATAAATTAATGATGTATGATTATTTCAGTAAACAAATATTTATTCAGTAGTAGCTAGGTGTGACACACTGGATAAAACATGGTAAACAAAAAATAGCCTCCGTCCAGGTAGTTTACAGGCTGAGGGAAGACATTAAAAAAATTAAAATATGTAAGGCAAATTGAGATAGATGCTATGAGGAAATGAAGAGTATGCTATAAAAAAAAGATTTAGAAAAAAAGAAGAGAGACTTGCTTTGACCGGTTTATAGGGAGATCTGAGGAGATTGTATTTAAACAGATACCTGAGGGATGAGAAGTCCAGGCGGAGACTACTTTTTTTAAGACAGCAGATACTAAAGAATTATGTGCAGTAGAGAGGAATCTAATGGTATTATAGCAGTGGTTCTCAACCTGTAACCTGTGGGTCGCAACCCCTTTGGAGGTCAAACGACCTTAGGATGGATGGCCTTAGGAACCGAGACACCGTTTCTCTATCAACTCCAGGCGGGCCCGCCCACCTATGAGCACTGTTACCCATGCTACACCATGCTTCAAGACAAAATTTCATTTGTCATTAGAAATAAATATTCCACAATATAGATTACATAGTTTTTGTGATTAATCACTATGCTTTAATTATGTTCAATTTGTAACAATGAAAATACATCCTGCCTATCAGATATTTACGATTCATAACAGTAGCAAAATTAGTTATGAAGTAGCAACGAAAATAATTTTATGGTTGGGGTCACCACAGCATGAGGAACTGTATTAAAGGGTCGCAGCACTAGGAAGGTTGAGAACCACTGTATTATAGAAAAGGGAAGATCAGAGTGAAGTCCTTAAAAAGGTGAAGGTAGATGTGATCTAGAAGTCATTCATTTTATGAGAGAACTAAATGGATACAAAGCAAAACAGGTTTATAGATTTGATTACGTGAAGGGGTCCTTCACATATTCTTGTGATCAGCGGAAAATTAGATTTGAGAAGAGTGGAATGTAAGAGTTGTGGGTGAGAGTTTACTAGAAAAATTCCGCAAGTAGGCTTGCCAGGCAGTGAATGCTTGAGGTTGATTAGGATTCACCAGATGACCCTGTCCTACTTATCACCCTATGACCAGGTCATGCAGAGCTTCAGGTAGATGAGTGTGGCAGAAAGCTGCAGGGGGCCAAGGAGTGGAAGGAACGACAAGAGAATTTAGTGTACTGGAGGAGTTAATTGAAAGTATGAAACAAAATATCTGACAAATTAGAGCAAGTGAATTAGAACCCTATGGTATAGGGGAGGGAGATATTTGCACTTATGCTTTTCCAGCAAAGTATGTGATGCCTCATGGGATTATTTGTCTGAAAGTGAGGTTAGGGCGCTGGGTCATCTGGAACTATAGGTCATATAGGACACAGTGCACGCACCAGGTGCTGAGAGGTGGTGGCATCATTGTGGAGTAGCATGAAGACTAGAGGGATTTTACACCAAGCCAAAGGTCTGGAAGCAGCAAAAGGCCAATTAAGTTGCTTCTGTCCAGTAATGTGAAGGTATGAAGTATTAGCAGAAAAAAATTTGCTCCCTTTAAAGACTTAAGACTGGTTTTTGTTCTTAAAGGACCAATTTTCCAATAAATGGTAACTTGGTGCTCAGAAGTCTGGTCTCACTGATGACAGCTTTTAGGAGTAGAAATTTACCCAGCTATATTCCTGATCTGCCTACTCATCCATGAAATGTAAAATATAAGTTTAATATATTCAAACCACAGTATCAATGGTCTGAAAACACTTTAGCTTCCTCCTTGACCACTCATTTAGCCTTCTATCAAAAAAAAAAAACCTCCCAAAAACCAATACCTCAAAGCCCGACTTCTACCACCTCACTCCTTGGCTTCAAAATGACTCAATAACTGGCAAATTTTACATGCCAACAAACAGCACTTCCCCCACTGGTCTGGGTATCTACTCATTTACCAAGCCAAGACGACTTCAAATTAGTCAGCTTTAAGTATTAAAATACTCTTTAAGCTAAGCAGATAAATCATTAGATTTTGGTTCAATATGTGACAGTATTTAAGTATTTCTCATGATCCAGTTACTCCGTGTTCCTTCTTCCTTTTAGGGGCTACCATATTTTGTGTTGCTCCCAATGCAGTATTTCCATTCGATATGTACAATGAGGAATACTTGGAAAAAAGGGACATGTATCTGATTCAGTGTCAACAACAGCTCCAACAGTTCATTGCCACTTATGGACCCGGGACGACTGTTTTCTCTAGTGACGAATAAGCAACTTGAGCTAAATCGTTCTCATTTCTATTTAATGGGTAAAAAGGAAATTAACTTTTTAGTAATATTTCAGGTAGAACCGTAGAAGTAGAAATATAAGATGGTGAATTATGTTGTAGCATACTGACAATTTAGAATCCTTCCATTTAAATTAATCTTTACACTTTTATAGATTATTCTTTTCTCTACCCATTTACTCAACAAGTTTTTACAAATACCTATTTAATAGTGCCAGGCTCTAGATAAAGTCTATTTGAATTTTCAGAAAGCAAACTATTTAATGGATTAGACTATTTCATGCCAAAGATCAGACTGTTAATATCCCACAAGTACATTAAAAAAAATGTCTAGTTAGTGACCAAGAATCAAAGTTTTAAGACTTGATATTTTTAAAAAACAAACTTTATTTTCCATCAAATTAGTAATCCAAACATGTTTTCTTCATGACTACGAAGTATCAATGTCAAATAAAGTTTTCTTCACTTGCTTCAACTGCTGTCTTCATGACATTTCATTTTACTTCCCAAAATGATTTCGCCACACCTCAAAAACAGAAACCCCACAAATATAAGAAACAGTAAAAAGCATTCTATATTTAAAAGCATTACTGATGACCCTCAAAAACCTAACATCCAGAAAAGAAAATCAGAGGCTCTTAATAGAAAATGGTTTCTTAAAGACCCTTGGAGTATTTATTTATAATTGTGAACTGATAGGTGTTATGGTTGTTTACTTACTTGACACAAAGCAGAAGACCACGGGGGTCAGGGACGTGAACATTCATCGGCAGCTACACCTAAAGGCTGAAGAGACAGAACATTTCATCTACTATAATAAAAAAGTACACTTCAATAATGTATATTCAATATGAATCACTGGCAACTCAGTTTCAAGATGTTCTTCAAAGAAACTCTCAGATGGGTAAACGGCAAAAAGTAACTGGAAATCATCATAGTGCCAGTTATTAAACCTATCTATGTAAAAATATGTATCATTTAGATATTGTTCTCCATGGACAATACCATTTAAAAAAACATACATATAGTAACTCACATGTAATTCTTGGTTCCACAAGTAGCTGCAGTCCTGGTGGTTTTTCCATAGCCATTCTTCACACATTTTTGGTGACCTTCACGTATCTTCAAACCTCAGACTTTGTTGCACCTGTAAATTTCCTTGGGAATTATCATTTGTACTTGCATCTTACAAAGGGCTTAAAAACTCACAGAAAAATAAGGTTAAAGAATAAAAAATGTTGAAAGAAAAAACTTTAAGCCCTTCATATGTAAGGTCTATTCTGATCAAGAACCTTAAATCTACAAGCCTTGATTCCCAATCTACTAGCATTGAGATTATGTATTAATTTTTTGCTCATTCTATATGAGGCTTGCTCAATTTCTCTAGTCAAAACTGATGAGCACAAATTATAAGTACAATTTTAGTCCTTTGGTAGTTTATTAGATGGAAGTAGCTCCAAAATGACAAAAAATCAAAATCTAACCGGACATCAAGCTTTACCAATAAAATTCAAAAGAAAAAAACATTGGGGGTGCACAATACCGTAGCAAAGAAAACACTGTATAAGCCATTTATGATATTCAGCACTGTGGCAGTATAGATTTTTTTTTTTAAGATATGATATTCCTAATGAGAAAAGCCCACTTGCTTTTTTCTGCCTCAGACAAGGATGAGATATATGCTGGGTTAAATGATATAGGGGGGGGGGAGAGGTTATAGGAAAAGTGTGCATGCCTCTACCTAAAAACCCATCACAGCAAATCCAGCAGATCAGTCCCAGGCTGTGTTATATTGGCATCATTGTCAGAGACTGTTCTATAGAATTAGATCCAAGTTGCCCAAGCATGTTTAGGAGCAGCAAAAGGCATGGTCAGGGTCAAAGCATGCATGCCCCCCCACTCCCACATACTCCAGAAAGGAAAATTCGGGAACCAGGAAACCACTAGGAATGATTGATGAAGGCATACTATGAGTTGTTTTTTTTTTTTTAAAAAGGTATGAAAAGATTTCACATAATCGACATGAATACAAAATATTGTTTTTCATAGCTTCAAGGAAATTGCCAGGGCTACATAGATAATATTTCTGAAAGTTCAAAGTAATAGGCAGAATTTAAGCAAAATTTCAGGTGGTGAAGCCCTCTAGACAGGCAAGGTATTGGCAATATTCAAGAATTTCAAATGCCTTGGTGGGTTCACTTGCATTATGCTTAAAAACTTATGCATCGTTTTAAATGTTAAAACACAAACTAGAGATACCAAATATTAATCATTTTAAACCTCACACCACCAGTTAAACGATTTAAATAAAGTACTGGGCCTGTTTGTGAGGTGGGGGGCGGATCACACAAACCAACCATCTGTCTCTCACGACATGTTTTGACAAATCAAGTCCTGGTCTCCTGCTTATTAGTTCTCTACTGTATCAATTTGTAAATACAAGCATCTACAAAAGATCCAGGAACAAGGGCCGGTGTCTATAGATCAAAACCCGCCCGTCTGGGGTCTGTCCGCCCCAATGCTGGAATGCTCCAGCCACCCCGCTCTCTGGCGGCGGCAGAGGGTCCAGCCAGGCAGGCGGTCTCGTCTTTCCTGCGCAGCGGCCGGCTGGCTGGGCCTGGTGACCTTGGGGACAGCAGCCCAACCCCGAACTCGCTAAGCCAGAAAAAGTGGCTGTAACATCCGAGATACTCCTTCGCCCCTTTATGAAATCCCCCCTTATTTCAGAAAAAGCCAAGCAACCTCCCGGTTGCACACGTTGGTCCAGCGGGGACAAAGCGAAGCCACTGGTCACTCCAGCTTGCCAGCGGCCGGAGGGCCCCTTCGCGGGCTTCCTTCCAATGTGTCTCCGCTGCTGGGAACGACCCAAAGTGGAGCTGTGCCTCGGAGAAGGGTCACCTCTCCAAACAAGTTGTGCGGACGGCGCAGGGGTCGCGCAGGTACCCTTAGCTACCCGGTGGGGGAGGGGCGGCCCCGAGCCAACCCCGCGGTCAGTCTAGCGCTCCCCGCCCCGCGAAGCGATGGGCCGAATCTCGGAACCCACAAGGTGGGGGGCCCCGAAGGGAGGTAAGGATCAGGGTAACCACAGGGAGTCCCACCTTGAACGGTGCGGCCACGAGGCCCGCCGCCAACGCACAGCCACATGGCCGGGGCCGGAGGGTGCCTGCTGCTCGCCCCGCAGCCATGCTGAAAAGGAGGAACCTTGGCTCCGGGACGCGCTTAAGGCCTCCACCCCTTCCCGGCCTGGGCCCGCCCCTTCCGGGGCGGTGCGCGCCCTGGGGCGTGGCCACTTCTGTCGCCGCCCCCTGGGCCAGTTTCCCAAGTTTTGGCACACTTCAAAATTAAGACGGTTGCTTAGAACCTTAAAGCTCCTGATTATCTCTCCTAAAGCGCTTTTCATTGGATTGCAAATGTATCGTGTTACAATACAAAGAACAGCAAATGATCTATAAAAGGAGGTCTCCTATTTTTGGTACATTGGTTTTATTTTTTTTAATTATTATTTTTAATACACTGGATTTCTACTCCATGATTTTGTGTCTTAAAACTGGTAGTACGAACTATTAGAAAGCATAGTTAGATTAAGCGATCTGGAATCCGCTCCTTTACACACAGAAGAACCAATCAACAGAAACAACTCATTGCCTGAAGTCAATTCTTACTCATTGTGACCCTGCAGGACACAGACCTGCCGCATCTCAGAAAGGTCATATGTTTTTTCTGTATGATATAAATAGCTACCATTGTTATTTTTTGGACTAGATGATTTCTTTGAAAAACCATTTATAAAGCAGTTACCTACCTTGTCTATGAGCATGTTCTGTTACTGACTTTTGGCCTTTGTATTTTTTTTTTTTTTTAATCACCCTTGTTTCTCTGGATCAGGGGTTCTCAAACTCTTTAAACAAGGGGCCAGTTTCCTATCCCTCAGACCCGTTGGAG